CAGCAACGTGCAGCTTACCAGGCGAACGTCGCGGGTCTGCAGCTCGAGCAAGCGATGACGGACGGATGGGCGCGCTACTTGTCGCTCCGCCGGCGCTGGCTTCGCGGTGGCACTGGCGGAGGTGGCAGCAGCTTCAGCGGCAGGGGCGCTGGCCACGGCGGGGGTGGCGACGCCCGAGGCGGCAGCGGTGGCGTGGCTTCCGAGCGTGGAGGTCTGCACGGGATACAAGAATGGGTCGTCGCCGCTGGTCATTGCGTGGCGCCTGCGTTCGCTTCTACGCCTTGACGCGCCTCGTTGCGAGTAGGCGGACGAGTCCTTGGCCGCTGCGAACCAAAGGTGGGTAGCGTGGCAGCTTCGAACTCTGCGCCGGAGCCGTGCGCCTCCTCTTCGGCCGCCGCCGCCAGCGGCGGCGGCGGCCGAAGAGGTGTCGGCCGAGGGCGGGAAGCGCGGGTTCGGCGGGTTGCTGCGCCGCCGCGCCGCCCCGGCCGACCAAGGGCACGAGGTGGCCACCCCCGCGGTGCGAGCGGAGCCTCCGAGTGGGCCGCGCTTCCGGCCTTTTGACTGGCTTACGAGGCAGTTTCCGCTCCCCGGTGGCTAGGTGTCGGTCTACTCTCTTGCTCACCCCAGCTGTCCCCCCGCGAGTAGGCCCAAGAATGAGCAGGGGCCGCACGCCGATTGACGGCTGCGTCTCGACTCGGAGCGAGTATGCCAATGCGCCAATGCTCCCAATCGGGGCTGAGCGCCAATCATGAATCAGATCGATCTCTCACAGATCTCTCATCGTCATGGAGCGCAAGAACCAAGATCGGAAAGAGATGACGAAGAAAATGACGTGTGGGTGGGCGTCTGGGTGGGGTGGGGGGAGGGGGTTCTCGTCTCTTGGCACAATAGTACATGCATATGCTCGGGGGGCACGATAATCTCAAAAATACTGTCAAAGCGCGCGGTACCCCGCAGAGGCCGCGATGTACATCGTATACACCTCGTCGCACGTCGCAGGCTCAGCCACAGGCGCTCTACAGCCACCAGCACCACCGGCCGGGGTATGGCAAGCGACATGTACATGTGCCGACGGAACATGCCTGTTCCCGCGTGACTGCCAGGGAATGACCTTCAGTTTTCTTCCAAGTTGATGTTGCCTCCGAAGCGTGCGTATAGCTGCTTTTTGAGTCCGGCGAGCGTCTGCCGGATCGTGCCGAGTTGGCTCTCGAGCTCCGAGATCTCGTCGGCCACCGCGTCCTTGCGCGACTCGAGCAACTCGTCTGAGGTAACGGACAGGTGGGGCTAATGGGGGTGTGAAGGCAAGACGCCGGCGTGACTTGACGTGTGCAGCGGGGGTTGGGCTCGCGAGATGCGTGCGCGGAGCAGCGTCGACCTGCGCGCTCTTTGCCGACCTCAAAGTAACATTCGCCGTACTGCACTCTGCGGAGGCAGCGGAGCGCCGGGCGGCGCGTCAGTCTACTGGCGCCCGGGGTCCTAACGGGATGCTTGCCTCGGAGCCGAGGTGAGTCGTGCGGCCACAGTGGCGCACCGCACAGGCTCGTCGTCGTCCGCAAGGATGAGCTCGTTGGCCGCGTCGTCTAGCTGGTCGTGCTGCGAGCGCTTCTCCTTGATCTCGTCCTCGAGCTCGTGCATCCGCGTGTTCAGCCGCCCAAACTGGTTGATGGCCTGCGGCGAGAGTGAGGTGCGGTCAAATGTGGCGATGGCTGGAAGGCCGCACCAGCACCAGCTCCAGTGCCTGCTGGTCCTCGAGCCTGACTTCGACATCCTCCTCGGCCTGCGGCTGCGAGGCGAGGACGAGGGTTAGGGTTTTGAATCCACAACCGGGCAGAATAAGTACCGCCTCTCACCATGGCGCGAAGGAGGAGGCAGCGAGGGGTAAGCAGAGCGTTCCGCAGGGCCGTTTGGTTTCTTTTTTCTAGAATTCTTTCTTTCTTTGTCATTTGCGAATTCAGAACACAGCGGTCGGCACGTCCACTGTCGGCTCGCCAGATCGCCAGTCGATCTTGTGTGCCGGCGGACTGCATCAGCAGCGCGACGAGAGCGTCCGGCAAAACATGTTCGGAAGTCGCATTTTTCCCAGAGATTTTATCAGAATATCCCCACCCAAACAACCCAAACTCAAAACGCCAACAACAAACCTACAACTCTTAAAACTCAAAAAAGTCTCTCTAACAAACCTAAAACAAACATGCAACGTGTCGATTGCCCACCCAAATGTGTGAGCTCTGTGTGTGTCTTGATTTGCCAACAACATACTCGAGAGATGGTAGGGCCCCCAAGGGCCTAGAAATCGCGCCTCCCTCTCCCTTGTCTCCCAGTAGCTAAAAGTCGACTCGAGTACCTAAAAACATACCTAAAACCCAAACATATGCAAAGTGTCGATTGCTACTCCGTGACGCACACCGTTTGCTCTTGGGCAAAATGTCTTCAAGAGGGCTGCTCCGCACGCTACTGTACACATTGTCCGCTCTTCAGCTCCCTTCGGCTGCATCCGCCAGGCCAGCCTGCGGCACGATGCGTGCAGAATGTCAGCTGACAGTGTGGCCATCCAGATTGACGGGTGGGCTCGGCAACACGGTGCCAATCGTTGGTGGGCTCGCTCGAGAAGCCTTCAGACAAAACTGCAGCGCGCTTGTGAATAGCAGCCGCCACGCCGGCGGCCGCTTGTACAAGTTCGAGGACTTCTTCGATGCGCCAAAGTTGATCCCGAGAAAGCCGGGCGACATCCCTTGCGCCGTCAAGGCACTCACGAGCAGGCCCAAGGCCTCAGTTGTGGAGTCCGTACGCTCTATGCACGCGGAGCTTCGCACGGAGGTGCCACCAGCGTGGTCCGACGCAGGCAAGCTGGCAATCCATTGCAACAACTTCAGTGCGCGACGCGCCTTGGTAGTGTTACACCTGCGCACTGGATGGGCAGACGTCTCAGCAAACGCGGCGGAGGTCGCCCCGCATAATCTGCAAGACTGCCAGCTCAGAGAGCGCAGCTGGTTTGACGCTGCAGACCAAGTCTTCTCACTCATGCTCGCGCCCAACTTTGGAAACCTCGCTGTGCGCGACCGTCTGAAGAATGAGTCGCTCTGCGCGCCCACGCTGCGCATGGCGTCGCGCCCATGCGGCTTCGCGCCGACGCTGACGAGGCTCTTGGAGAATGTCGTGCATGAAGCGCGAACGAAGCTGGGAACAGAGGATTGGTCGATTTTTGTTGCTGCGGACGCCCCGTTTCCCGAGAGCGAGCGGTAGCGCATCTGCGCCAAATGGGCATCACCGCGGCACACTCGCACGGCCAGGTGGGCCACAACAACGCATGGGCAACGGCCAGGATCTTTGACAAGGATGCCGCCCTTCGCGTGATCGACACAGCTTTAGTCGACCTTCTCCTCCTCTCGCACGCAGACATGGTGGTGACCAGTGCTGGCTTCAGCACCTTTCCCAAGGCGGCCGACATGATGAGCGTCTGCAGCAATCGGCAGCGCCATAT